AGTCCATCAGTCGAGTCATGTTATGTCATTTTTGTTTGGGTCATCTTTCTTTTTCTGCATTAAGTCATTTATTCCCAAAACTGTTTAAGGGAATTAGTTTGTCTAGTCTTCATTATGAGTCTTGTGAACTGTCAAAACATTGTAGAAACAGTTATCCTCTGAGTAATAAAAGATCTTCTTCTCCTTTTAATATTGTGCATTCTGATGTGTGGGGGCCTTACCACTTACCTTCTATGGGTGGCTACAAATATTTTATCTTGTTCATTGATGACTTTTCTTGGTCCACTTGGATATTTTTGATGAAGTCCCATGATGAAGTTCCCATACTTGTGAGGCAATTCCATGAATTTGTCCTAACCCAGTTTGATACCAAAATTAAAATTTTTAGATCCACCAATGCAAAAGAATATTTTGAGAAAAATCTGACCTACTTTCTCACTGATTTAGGGGTTATTCACCAAAGCTCCTATGTTAGGACCCTAGAACAGAATGGAGTTGTTGAAAGAAAAAATAGACATATTGTTGAAGTTGCAAGAAGTATTCTATTTGCCTCACATGTCCCTACAAAATTTTGGGGTGATGTTGTTCTCACTGCTACCCACCTTATAAACCATATGCCGTCTAGGGTTTTAGGGTTTAAGTCTCCCTTCAGTCTTCTTCATCCGGACAACGATCTTTTTCCTATTCCTGTTTGTGTCTTTGGCTACACTTGTTATGTACATATCCCAAGTGTCCAGAAACATAAATTTGAACCAAAAGCCCACAAATGTATCTTCCTTGGTTATTCCCCCACACAAAAGGGTTACTATTGTTTTGATCCAAAGACTGGCACTCGGTATGTCTCAATGGATGTCACCTTTGATGAGCTTTCTTCCTTTTATGGTTCTTCTCTAGAGAGACATTGTCCAAAGGGGGAGGATTTGTCACAGGTGTTTGCTCTTCCTCTTCCTATCCCAGTTGAGTCTTTTGCTAAGCCTCTTCCTCCTTAAAGGGAGGATCAGTCACTTCACTCTCATTCCAGTGTTCCTATTCCTCCTCCTTTACCTCCTCGCCTTCTTTTTAATCCCAGGTTGTACCAACAGTAGAGAACCAGAAATGAGCAGATTGTTTCCCCTACAACATATGAGCCTCCATGCACTTCCAGTTACAGATGAGACAACAAGTACTGTTACAGCCCCTTTGGTGCACTCCTTCCCAGACCTTGATATCCCCATTGCTATTAGGAAAGGGAAAAGGAAGTGTACTGCACATTGCATTTTCAAACACCTTTCTTATAGTTTGCTCTCTCCTTCATATTTTGCCTACCTTTCTTCTATTGCTTCTAACCCAATTCCCAGGTCTATGTCAGAAGTTCCTAATATTCCAGAATGGAAGGATGCTATGAGATTGGAAATTGATGCCCTGCACAAGAATGACACTTGGGAAGTGGTTGATTTGCCTGAAGGGAAGGATCCAGTAGGTTGTAAATGAGTTTTTACTATCAAATATCATGCTGATGGCACCATTGAAAGGTACAAGGCTAGGCTGGTTGCAAAAGGCTATACACAGACATATGGGATTGATTATTTGGAGACCTTTGCCCCTATTGCCAAGATGACTTTTGTGAGAGTTCTGCTATCTTTGGCTACACACTCAGACTGGCATTGAATATAATGGAATGGTGGAACAAGATTCATGTAGCCAACCACATGTAGTTAGGACAAGGCTTAGATGATGATGATTTTAATAATAAAGAGCCCAATCATCCCTGTTGAACTACCAGGCCTGTTGCTCCTCAACCAAGAGCAGATATCTCCCCATGCCCTCCTATCCAAGGACATTAATGAGACAATTGGCATATTTAGGGTTCTACTTAAATGATCTATTCAATCAGGATGCAAAATCATCTGCTTCTCTAATTAGTGCCTTAACAAACATAAGGGAATTCAGCAAGAGAAAATAAATGAGTGGAAATTAATGTAGCAAGGAGATTCAAGCTTCAATCAAATATAAGGGAGCTGATTGTGGGGCCGTTGATCTTGATTTGATGGACTCTACCATGGTTTGTTTGTTCAGGCTGTTGAAGGGTAGATGGAGATTCTTGTGGATAAAGATGCTAAAAGAATACATTGAAAGACATGGGTGGTGTCTGGTGTGTCTTTTAGGAGTGTCCTTTGGTCGACTGTTGATAGGAAACTCAAAAGACCAAATATGGTATTTTCCCATTTGGTATTTGCATAGACTGAAAGATCTTAAGTCAAGTGTGCAAAAAGACCAAAAAGACCAAAAATCGGGAAGCTTCAAATGAAACTTTTGTTAATGTCATGTTCAAAATATCCTTCCCAGCTGTTTTTAACAGCCTTGAAGACCATGATGCTTATCAAACAGTCTTGGTCTTTATAGACAAGACGCCAAAAGCTCAGTGCATCTTCTTGTCTATTGGGCTGTTGAAAGATCTGCCTAGAAAGACTTGTAAACACCACCATGGAAAACTGATGAATTAACCTTTTACCCCACAGACTTCAGGGTTTGATTAGTTTTCTAAATATTTATATAAATAATACCATTGTGTACAAGGGGTATAATGACCCAATAAGCCGGAGATTCTACAACCCAGTCCAGCTGGAATAAGATGCAGGCCCATCCTATACAAACCAAAACTTTCTATTTAATCCACTCCATTGACAATCCAAAATGAGAGGTTTGTGATGGTTTAAAATATCCTTAATTCCCTAATATTTCAATCCTCAATGGACACTACCATCACTATGTGGAGTACAAGAGAGTTTCCAATGACATATTTCCATTTCCATTTCCATGGGTGGTGACATGAAATTTTATTGGAATCAACATATTCCTTAGTGAATACTACTAGCACTATGTGGAACAAGAGATAGTATTATAACATAAGTTGGTAACAATATTGTAGATATGTTGAGTAACAATGTTATTACCCACATAACTTACACATGATTACCACTTTGAGCAAGCTCAATATTCATTTCAAATAAGAAGTTAAATATTAGTTTTTGTTTGTGTAATAGATTATTTGGCTGATCTAATTTTTTATCAGTAAATAAAAACCATTTTATGAATTAAAAGTTACTTTGAAAGTACAATGCAAGTCATCTTTTCATGACCCAGTTACAACATATTTCAGAAATGCCCAAAATAAAGTGGGTCTGTCAGCTCTGGGTTTTGCTAGAGCATCCACCATACTATTTGCTTCCCTTTTGACCCAATCAAAGCTGGAACTGAATTTTCTTGCTAGTGAGCCAATTTTTCTGAAGATGAACCTAAGGTTCCAAAGTGATAAGTCAATTTGTTTTTTTTTTTTTTTTGATAAATAATAAGTCAATTTGTTTTGCCCAATTTATAACTAATAGTGAATCCCCTTCAATTTCCAGCTCTCTTACTCCCAGCTGCTCAGCCAGTTTCAGACCTTGTAGGAGAGCCTGAGTTTTAGCCTGAATTGAGTCTTCAAAGCCAACTGGTCCAAAGAACACTGCCACAACTTCTTGATGATTCCGGATCACTCCCCCAATCCCAGAGCTCTCCCCGGATTGCCAAAGGAGTTGCCATCAAAGTTCAGCTTTAGCTTGTTTGGTCCGGTGGTTCCAACCCATTCTTGCCTTTTATCTATTAGAACCATTTATATTTTATATGAGTTTAAATTTTGCTTTCCGACCACCTGAAGAACAGGGGCTTCAGCCTGGCAAGCTATAGTGCTATCTGTGTTGCTCAGAAGAGGAATCAGTTCACCACCTGTTTTACTCTTGTAAGATTGCAAACTTCCTGTGGAATTTCTACTCGACCCTCTTTGGTGTAGTCACATTCCCACCAAGGTTTTCAGCTGAGCTGTTTTCATCAAAGCCAAAGTTCAGTGAGAGTAGAAAAGCAAGAATAGTATGGAGTTGTATCCCTCTCACTGTGTGCCGGGTCATTTGGAATGAGAGGAACAGGAGACTGTTACAAATCTAGAAATATCAAGATGCTAGTGGCCTCAATAGGGAATTTTGTCTCGGATTGGGTTCTGGTGCTCCCCGAGTTTGATCAGATTAGTAGATAAGATTTGGGGGAGAATTTTTGGAATGTACTTGAAATCCAGAATTGTAAAAGTCATTAGCATGTATTTGTTTGGTCTTTAGATGCTGTGTTTATTGAGGTGTCATCTTGTCACCTGCTTTTTGTAACTTTTACTATTAATAAAATCTTATTTAATTACTCTTCAGGAAAAAAAATGCTTTAACTCATTCTGTCATGAAGTTTTGAATCTTAAGGTTCAGAGGACAATTCCAGAATGTATTCTTTCGTCTATAACCTTAGTTTTTTAGCTTCGTTTAATGATAGAACAAGATAATAATTTAAAAAGGTGTGCCTATGCTACTATCATTTCATAAAATATCATTCTATAGTTTTGCATATTTTACATGTCCACAACTTTTTCAATATTTTCATGCGATATTTCCAACATTGCCGACATCTTTCCTATATTTGGACAATCAACATTTCCACCAACACCAACATTTTAAACCTTGGTTCTACCCTGAAAGAATGTCCTTCTAACAGGATCTGAGGAACTTAGCAAGATGTTTTCATCAGCATCTCTAAGAAACACCTATTTCTTAAGCCTTTTCTTTTTGTGTGTGTAGCTTACAATAGTATTCTGAACTTACCAAAAGAAGTCTCCACACATCTGGACGCATATAGGAAGGTACACCACTCCAAGATAACTCACGTACTGTCTCTATATAATGCAAATCAAATACATATAGAAAGGAACACATTAATAAATTGTACAATTGAAACCAACAAATGACAAAAGAAATCCAGCAAACTACCCAAAAAAACCAAAGCCATGAAAGCAACATCCCAGAAACTTGTTTCAAGAACTATGTCTACAAGAAGTGCTTCAATAGAAACAAAATAACAATGGTAGTAGTTATGTCTTACTATTTATTTACTGCAAGCTATCCAATTATCCTCCATCTGTTTTATTTGGAGCATTGATTTGTGAAGTTAACTTGACAAAACTGTAACTGAGGGTAAAGATTGTGTAAATCTAATTTCACATTATGTAGGGTTGCTCAACCAAATAACTTATTCCCTTATGAATAAAATGAAGAACCATATATAATTTGAGTGTGAAATGCCATATTTGGTGCTTCAATCTCTTGTCAGTGATACACGGAAAATATTTAGTGCTCAGGAATGAAGATGTTGATCTTGATTAGGAGCTTGATATTGTCCAACTTGAATCCTTGTTCCCATTTCTTGATGGCATTTTTTGAAGTCTTACAGAGTAAATTCATGTTGACTCTATTTGGAGATTGATTCAGAATTTATTCACTAGGTCATTTTTATTCCTTTTGATGGTATCTTTGAATCCTTCTCACTTTTCAAAAGTTTGAAATATTTTATTTGGAGATATATGAGCATTTATAACATAAAAGTGACCATCCACTCAAATCAATCAAGGAAAATGTTGTTATATAATTGATTAAAGGGATGTTTGGTATGGAGGTATTATGATTTTTTTGGGGTCCAAATCAGCACCATGACACAAACAAAATGTGTTTGATTAGAACATTTGAGATTACAACGGCCACTTACCTGGCTTATTTTCTCCAACAGCTATTGGAGCTATTGCATTTCAAATGATGTAGCACTTACCTGGCTTATTACATGGCATGTTATAGATGTGACCAATGTTTTAAAACGCGGAGGCATGACGTGAGGCATTCCACTACCTAGAGGTGTGAGGTGTAGTTTAGAACATAAGAGGCGTAAGCCTCCTTAAGAGGAGGGGGATGAGGAGGAAGGAGGAAAAAGGGGAGGAGGAAGAAGAGGAAGGAGGATCTCATTTTTCTTTATTTTTAATAAAAATCTTTTATATTAAAAAGAATGAAGATGCCTAACACAAAAGAAAAAAAAAAACAAATTGGGCTGCATTGAAAAAGGGGAACTGGGGGCAAAGCCCCCCAACCAAGGAGGCCTAGGGGCTTTGCCCCTAGCCCACTTTCCTTCCCCTTATCTTTTCTTCCCTTCTCTTTTTTTTTCTTTTTGTCTTTTTTTCTTCTCTTTCTTTTTCTTTCCCTTCCCTTTTCTTTTCTTTCTTTTTATCTTCTATCTTTTTTTTCTTCTCTTTCTTTTTTTCCCTTCCCTTTCTTTTCCTTTCCTTTCCTTTCTTTTTTTCTTTTTTTTGTCTTTTTATATGAAATGTGCATGAGGTGTACGCCTCTAGCACACCTCATGAAAAAGGTGTATGAGGTGCACATCTCAAAGGTATCAGCGCCCCTGGCACACGCCTCAAGGCATTTTGGGTGCGCGCCTCTAGGCGTATGCCTCCCACGCCTTTTAAAACATTGGATGTGACACAAGTAAAAGTTTTCCTACAATGCCTAGTCAGTATTCATCCATACAAAACATGTTTTGTCCTTTTAGGACGAAATGAACACACTACGTATGAGGTGAGGAGTGTATGTTTCATCCTCAATCACATCACCACACCTTACCATAATACCAAGAACCCACTAATTAACAGATTTAACATTGCTTTCAATCTTATTTGAACTTAGCATTCAAAAAATGAATTAAGTTTTTAATATTTCTTTAATTTCTTAGATTTCTGATATTTTTATTATGATGCCATGTAGTAAGCATGGTTTAAAATGTCTAGATATTTCCTAAAGTTTTCATGACATATTTCCATTTTTATTATATTTCTGTTTAATGTCTAGATATTTCCTAAAGGAGAAGAAGAGAGAGAGAGGAGAGAAGAGAGAAGAGAGGAAGAAAAGTTCTGGGATCAAAAAATCTATATCTGGTGGTGCCAGCCATTGGTATTTATATTAGGGTATTCCAACTAATAACAAAAAGAAGTAAAATTACAAGAATGCCCCCTATGACACAAAGGAACAGAAATATAATAATAATGAGAATAAATAAAGAAACTAACTAACTAAACTAATTGATTTCAACACTTCCCTTCAAGTTGGGACATAGATGTCAATCATGCCCAACTTGTCACATAAATCATTGTGCCATAGGTGATGTAATCCCTTGGTAAAGATGTCTACAAGTTGATCCATGTAACTAATATATGGAGTGCACACTTCCCCATTTATAATTTTTTCCCTGATATAATGCTTGTCGACTTCAATATGTTTAGTTCTATCATAAAGAACTGGGTTGGCTGCAATGTTGATAGCAAACTTGTTATCAAAATACAAGGACATGGAGTTGTTAACAGGAAACCCCAGCTCATTCAACAAATTCTTTATCCACATAACTTCAGCCACTCCGTGGGACATTGCTCTATACTCAGCTTCAGCACTAGACCTCGCCACAACATTCAGTTTCTTGCTTCTCCATGTGACTAGGTTCCCTCCCACAAAGGTACAATATCCAATAGTGGACTTTCTATTATCAAATGATCCGACCGAATTAGCATCTATATACACTTCAACCTTCAAGTGTCCATTCTTTTGGAATAGTAAACCAGCCCCCGAAAACTTCTTTAGATACCTGAGGATTTTATCGGTTGTCTCTAAATGTGTGGTCTTAGGGACATGCATGAATTGGCTAAGAACACCCACAACATAAGCTATGTCTGGCCAGGTCATAGAGAAATATAATAGCCTACCCACAAGCCTTTGGAATTGTTTCACATCCTTCATAGTCTCACCTTAGCAATGACCTAGTTTGTGGTTTGAATCAATGAGAGAGTCAGCAAGCTTAACTCCAAGTTTTTCTATATCCTATAAAAAATTATGAAGATTCCATTTTGTGAACGGGGGCCACTTCAATTAAAAAAATACCTCAAGGGACCTAGATCCTTCACCTCAAGTTGAGTGGATAGGAACTCCTTTAATCTCTAAGTTTCCATCTCTTAGTTGCCTATGACCACTATGTTATCAACATACACTATCAAGACTACAATTTTTCCTTCCCATTTTTTTTTGATGAATAATAATAAGTTTATTGATTCAGAAGCAACTTTAGAGTGAGTTCATACATCATCCCAACGAGAGGCACGAGCTGCAGCCCCTCCTTGAGTCTTACAAGTAAACTAGGAAAGAAAAACAATAATCACAACTGAGCCCAAAATAATTCTTCCCTATTTACCCCTTGCTTAGCTAACACATCTGACAAAGTATTTGCTGATCTAACACTGTTTGTATCCAAATAGTGTATGATTAGTCTAACACTGTTTGTATCCAATCTTCTGCACAGCTAGGTGAAACTTCCTGAACCAAGCTCTTGGTGATTGCTTTATCCATACAAGGACTTCTTTAACTTGCACACTTTTTGCTCTTAGTCTTGGGCATAGAAACCAAGAGGTTGCACCATGTACACCTCTTCTTCAAGATCACCATTTAATAAGGCATTTTTAATATCTAACTGGTGGAGAACCCAATCAAGGTTAGCAACAAGAGAGAAAAGAACTCTGATAGATTTCATCTTAGAAACTAGAGCAAATGTCTTTGCATAGTCTACTCCATACACCTGAGTAAACCCTTTTGCCACCAACCGAACTTTGTACCTTTCTACTGTGCCGTCAACCCTATGCTTTACTATAAAAACCCACTTGAACCCTACCGGTTCCTTACCCACAGGAACATCTACTAACTACCATGTACCGTTTTTATGTAAGGCATTTATCTCTTCTTTCATTGCATCTGTCCATTTAGGTACTGAAAGAGCCTCTACCACATTTTAAGGAATAGGGACACTGTCAATGGAAGAGAGGAAAGCACGAAAGGAGGATGAGATGTTCTCATATGAGACAAAATGGGAGATAGGATGGTTGGTGGTTCAAGACCTAACTCCCTTCCTTTGTGCAATAGGGATGTCGAGGTCACTAGTAGATGAAGAATCAATAGCAGTAGGGTCAGGAATATCAATAGGAATAATAGTACCTAGTGGGATAGGATCTGTCCCCGGTGAATCTAATGATGTTGGTGGTACAACTTCAAGTTGCTCCACAACTTTCGAACCCGGATAGCCTTTACAACTACGAAGAAAGACACGAAATGGAGGAGGGTCGGGTAGGGGAGGAAGCACTTAGACATGTTTCTCCTCTACCCTATTCCCCCCCCCCCAGGAGAAATAGGAAAGAAAGGATCACTCTCAAAGAAAAATGCATCCATAGAAACATAGTATTTCTTGGAAACAAAGTCAAAACAACGGTAACCCTTTTGAGAAGAAGGGTAGCCCAAGAATACATATGGAATAGCATGAGGATCAAGTTTACCAGGAGTAGGAGACAAGTTTTGAACAAAACAGTGACAACCAAACACATGAATAGGAATAGAAAAGATGAGAGCTTTAGGAAATATGAGCTGATGGCCTTGTACCCTAACAAATGAGATGGCATACAATTGATGAGATAAGTAGCGCATAACACAGAATCCAACCAAAAACGATTTGGAACACTTATATGGATGAGTAACCCACAAGCCACTTCAAGTAGATGATAGCTTTTGCTTTTTCCAACACCATTTTGTTGGGGAGTTTTGGCACAAGAGCTACGACAAATAGACCCATATGAAGCAAAGAACTCCGTGAGATCACTGTAGAAGTACTCTTTGGCATTGTTAGATTGGAAATTTTGAATCTCCATCTGAAATTGAGTGAATATCATGCATTGGAAATCTTTTACAATTTTTTGTACTTTGTCCCTACACCATATGGGATACACCCATGTATATCTAGAGTAGTCATCAATAAATGTAATGAAATCTT